CTCATCATTGAAAAAAGTGACACTTCCAGAATCAATAATTTCCATTGGAAATGAATGTTTCAAAGAATGTTTATTAATAAAAGAAGTGAAAATTCCATCTTCAGTAAAAAGTATTGGAAGGTTTGCATTTGAAAATTGCAAGCAATTGTTTTCTGTTGTTATCCAATCGACAATTATTGAGTCAATTGGTGAAGGTGCCTTTCAAAATTGTGTGTCACTTCAAATCATCAATATTCCATCTTCATTGAAAACGTTAGAAAATGGAATATTTTATGGATGCAAGTCACTTTCCAAGATAGCAATTCCTCCATCAATAACGAAAATAGGAAATGGTGCATTTTGTGAATGTCATATTTCTGAAATAAATCTTCCTTCTTCGTTAAAAACAATTGGTCAATTTGCATTCAAAAAGTGTCGATATTTAACTGAAATAAATTTGCCATCTTCTTTGACATCACTTGGTGAAGGAGCCTTTGATGGATGTTACTCGATGAATGACTTAAAGATCCCTAAATCTCTTCAATCGATTGGAAATCCGATGTTTCATGGGTGTTCTTCGTTGACACAAATAACAATTCCTCCAGACACCAAGATCATTAAGAAATCTGCTTTTGCAGGTTGTTCATCATTGCAGTCAATTATCATTCCTTCTTCTGTGACTGAAATTGAAGAATATGCATTTTCTGGTTGTTTTTCATTGACTTCAATAACGATTCCTTCTTCAGTTAAATCGATTGCTCATTTTGCATTTTATTATTGCACTGGACTATTGACTGTTATAATTCCTTCTTCAGTGAAAAGCATTGGCCATAATGCATTCAAACACTGCACATCATTGAAAGAAATAACAATTCCTTCATCAATCAGTACGATTGAAAATTGCTTGTTTGTTGAATGCGAATCTTTGATGAATGTGAATATTCCATCTTCTGTTAAATCTATCAATGCAAGTGCCTTTGCTAATTGCTTAAAGTTGAATAAAATTACAATTCCTTCATCTGTCACTACAATTGGCAATTGTTGTTTCAATGGCTGCCGATCATTATCAAATGTTATCATTTCATCTTCAGCTGTTTCATTGGGCCAGTATTGCTTTAATGATTGCATATCATTGCAATGCATGTCAATTCCTCCTTCGGTTGTTTCAATTGGAGAATATTGTTTTAGTGGCTGCTCTTCATTAAGACAAATTAAATTTGATGGAAATTCGTCACTTAAATCAATTCAAAGATTCGCTTTTAACTGCTGCTCCTCTTTAATGCAAGTAAGCCTTCCTTCATCATTGACTGAAATTGAAACCCATGCATTCGATAAATGTGAATCATTGGCACAAATATCGATTCCAAAATCTGTCAATTATATTGGTAACTTCGCTTTTGGTGGCTGCTCTTCTTTAAGAAATATCACGATTCCACATCCGGTGTATTCGAAAGTGTTGGGCATCAATCCAAATGCCAAAGTTAATTTTATTTAAGTAATTAAAAGCTAAATATATTTATAAGTTTGCTTTATTTTATACTGAGTTATAAAAAAATACAAGTTGCTCAAGAAATACTTTATATTTCTTTAATCAAACTTTTAAATTAGTCTTTTCGGACTTGAAAAAAAAAAAAAAATATCACCAAAAAGTACAACAAGAAAGTCATCATATGAAAAGCGCTTTATTTCTTTGAGTTAAAAAAGCATATTATTGATGAATTTAATTCTATCAAAGATATATTTTTTCAGAAAATCTAACTCTTTTATCGTTCAAAACTTTGAATAATTTATTTTCAAAAAAAAAAAAAAAAAAAGATATTTTTTGCCCCCAATTAAAAAAAAGGAGATGCGCAATTCAATCATGGCCTCATTTATTATAAAGGAAAATATGTCACACGAGATATCAACAAAGCAATTCATTATTATTCACTCGCTGCAAATCAAAATTATCTGCAAGCACAATTTATTCTCGGTAAAATTTTTTCAGATGGAAAATATGTCACACAAGATATCAACAAAGCAATTCATTATTATTCACTCGCCGCAAAACAAAGATATTCTAAAGCACAATATGTCCTTGGCATCATTTATTTAATTGGAGAATATGTCACACGAGATATCAACAAAGCAATTCATTATTTGTCACTTGCGGTAAATCAAAATTATCAAGTAGCCCAATTCTATCTCGGTCTCGTTTATTATATTGGTAAATATATAGAGCAGAATATTAAAAAAGGGCGATATTATATTATGTTGGCATCAATGAATGATTATCGAGAAGCGAATTTTGCGCATGGATTTTTACTTCATGAGGGAAAGTGTGTTAAAAAGGACATTGCAAAAGCCATTCATTATTACAAAGAAGCATCTTCATTCAACGATCAATATTCAAAAAACAATCTCGGTATTATATACAAATTTTTTTTCTAAATCGGTATTTAATGTTATATATGAATCCAATAGATTCAAGGATTTCTTATATAATATTGAATTTGAACCAATTAAATCATCAGAACTAGAACACCCAAATGAAAAAGTTGTTCAACCCAAATATCAAAATGCGAAAGACATTTCATCAGAATTTTACAATGGTTTCGGAGAAGATTTATATGCGTCATTTTAAAAAAAAAGTAGTGTTTGATTTATGACAATCGGGTGGTGAAATTGTTTTTGAATAATATGTAATATAGTTGTGAAAAAATTCTATATGTTCATTCAAATATAATTGTGAAAATTTAAAAAGCTTAATGATACAATGTGAATACAAGTTGGTGATCTCCCTTTCTTATTTATATCATAAAAATAAATTTATGAATGTTTTTTTTGAAATAAATCTTTAATTATCAATATAAATTCATTTAATATTTTATTAAAAATTTGGCCAAATAAAATCTGAAAATATATGGTTTTTCAAGTTCTAAAAAATATGAGTGATTTTTTAGATCTCAGCAAATTCTTTAAGCAATCTTATATAAGTAAAGGCTCATTTGGAGAGGTATTTACTGTTAAAGAAATTGATACAGGAGAAATTTTTGCAGCAAAGATTTCATTAAAAATGATAACCGAAGATCATAAATCATTAGTTACAAACCTCAAACGCGAAGTTAGTATTATTTCGCAATTAAATCATCCCGCAGTTCTAAAATTTATTGGATATAGTCCAATCGATTTTTACAATGAGCATCACCCAACGGATCATTAGATAAGATAATTGCACTTGAAAGACAATCTCTGTCTCCTCCACTTTGGGATGATACCAAAAAATTAATAAATATATATGGCATTGCATCAGCGATGGCATACCTCCATTCACACGATATCATTCATCGAGATTTAAAGCCAGCAAACATACTTGAAGATGACTTCTTATTCCCCAAAATTGCCGATTTTGGCCTCTCTAAGACAATCCATACAAATGCCGAAAGCATGTCGACAGATTCAACTATTGGGCTCAAGGGAACATTCATTTACTTGCCACCCGAAAGCTGGGATTATTATCAATACACAAAAGCAGGTGACGTTTATGCATTTGCAATTATTGTTTACGAAATTTTGACGCTTCAGATTCCATTCGAAGGCCTCACGTATGGAATGATCTGCAAAAAAGTGTCAGTCAACGGAGATAGGCCAGAATTCAAATATCCAATTCCTGACTGCTACCACAGCCTAATAGCGCGGTGCTGGGCGCAAGATCCAGAAGAAAGGCCAACTTTTGAACAAATTGTTGAAGAGTTGAAAAACAATGATGAATTCATCACTGACTGCGTCGACAAAGACGAATTTCTAGACTACGTAGACATGATCGACAGCTTAGGATGTTCGTTTGATCCACAGAAAAAATTTAAGAAAATTTCGCTTTTCAATACCACAGAAATTAATTCAAATGATTCAAAGATCATTGAAAGTAATTCAAATAATTCAAAGCTCATTGAAAGTGATTCAAATAATTCAAAGCTCATTGAAAGTGATTCAAATAATTCAAAGCTCATTGAAAATAATTCAAAGAAAAAGATTGTAAATTTAGAATGTAATCTAATAAAAGGATCTCATTCAATCTCACATGACTTTAAAAGAATTAAAGTTGTCGTTTTTGGTGCAGGCGGTTCTGGCAAATCTGCTCTTGTTATTCAATTCATGCAAGGTTACTTTATTACTGATTATGATCCAACAATTGACGATGTATATAGAATCGCTGTTTCTGTCGATGAACACTATGTTGCCCTTGATATTATTGATACAGCCGGCCGGGATGATTTTGCACCAATGAGGACATCTTACATACGCCAAGGAGAAGCATTTGTCCTTGTCTATTCGATTGATGATAGAGCATCTTTTAGTGAAATCCCAGTTTTCCACCGAGACCTATGCCGCGTTAAAGGAACCAGCGACATTCCTATTGTAATCTGCAGCCATGATTATGAAAGTAATCACCGATCAGTTTCACAGGAAGAAGGAGAGAAGCTTGCGCAGCAACTAAACGCAGGTTTTGTTGAAGCATCTTCTATAGATAATATTAATGTTGATAAAGTGTTTGAGATATTAATTCATAAGTTCATTGAAAAAGAAAAATCCGATCTATCAAAAAAAGAAAAATCTGACTTACCAAAAAAAGAGAAGAAAAAAAAATTTTCATTTTTTAAGAAGAAAAAGCATTGATTGAAAATGGCAAGACCTTTATAAATTTCGAACTTATTAAACTAACCTAGTCAATTTTTAACCATTTAAAAAGTTATTAATAAAATGCTTTTTTTTTTTCTTGAGAGAAACATAAAAATAAAAGATTCTGAAGACATAATTATACTCAATACCTTACCAAATAGTTGTTTTTATATTTTAAAGTAATCATTGATGATCAGGTTCAGAATTATTCCATAATTCTAGTTTATTTTAATTATGTACGTTCTATTATGAAGATTTCAGAAATAGAAATATGAATAAAGTAAAATATTATATTATGAATAAAGTTATTTTTATTCTTTGAAGAATAAAAATATTATTGTTTTGTATCTTAATAAATGTGAATCGGCATAGTCTAACGGTTAAAACAATTGGCTTTCAACCAAGATTTCGGGGTTCAATTCCCCGTGCCGATATTTTTTTAATTTTTTTTTTTTATTTTTAATAGTTTCAAAGATATCTAAAAGATATAAAAATCATCACAATAAATAGCAATAGGATACAGCAGTCCAAATGGTAAGTTGCCTCGTTATTTAGTAATTTTTTCAAACAAATGTTCATTGATTATTATTTAGATTTTATATATGCATATATAATTGTAAACATCATTATTGGATGAAAAAATGACAAAGAAAGAACCCCCTTAACATTATATTTTTTCAAAAAGTTGTTTCATCAAAAAGTCCTCTATTCAAATTTTTTCTTTCAAAATTTGAACATAGTTTGTTTGTCATATCACCAACAAACTTTGCTGTTTTTATTATCCCATAATATTATAAAAAAAAGATTTTTAATAGAAGCTATTAGATATTTAGCACATGAAAATTCATAATCATTAATTATCATAAAGTTCTATTCGCATTTTTTTGAAAAAATTGTGCTATTTGAGCCATTGTCTTCATTAAAAATAATGTATTCAAAATTATGAAGAATTTTATTAAATCCAAGCTTTTTTTGTGAAATTTTTTGATGGGATATGAATTTTATTAAGTCATTTAAATCTTTGATCTCAATAAAATTGAGAAATAATTATAAAATTTCATAAAATAAAATGTATAGAAAGAGTGGTTATTGCTTTAGCTTTTCAATAACACAATGAAAAATTGAATAGTGTAATTTATTAGCTTTTCTATTATGTAATGAAAAGTAACAAATAGAGTAAGTTAGATGAAGATGAAAACGTTCAAAAAGCTACAATTAGAGTAAAGATGAAATATAAATGCATTTTTTATTATTATTATGTAATGAAATATTATAATATAAAAGAACCATATATAGAGTAATAAAAAATTGGATGTTAAAAAGAATTGAACATGAAAAAAATAGTTAATTGTCATTTTGATATTTTTACAATTAAAACTTTAGATAGTATAACCACTATTCTAAAAAAAAATTGTATCAACTATTTTTCGCATCTTAAAACATGATTTTTTAAAAAATAGGATTGCTATTTTGAGAATTTATATCATATTCATTTTTATTTCATATTTTTTTATACCAAAAATATAAAAATAACAATTCATTTTATATTTTGATAAACGAAACTTTTGCACATATATATATATATATATATATATATATTAATAAACAGAAGGGGCATTTATCAATCTGACAAATTTGTTTCAAATTCTAATAAAAAGTTGTGAACGATCATTTTTCACTCAAAAAGTAAGTAAAATTTGAAATTCTTGAAATGAAGACCTCTATCATCAAAGATTTTCAAAAAATTCTTAATAATCGCCAGATTAAAATGAAAAATGAATTTCTTGATAAAATTTATCAAAAGTTCAGTTTTTCTTTTCTTGATAAAATCGAAGATTCTTTAAAGATCGATTTAATAAAAAATGAAATTGGAATCATTCTTATTGATATCATGAAATATTTCAACGAAGAATATCTGATTATTTGCTTCGAAGGAACAATTATTCTCGTCTCAAAAACAAAAGTATCTTTCCTTGAGAATTTCTTCATGAATCAAAAGCACTCAAAAATTATCGCGATATCAAATAAAATTGGAGGAATTATACCTGAATATATACGTATTGACGACGAAGAATCGAAAGAAATGATTAAAATTTATAATCAAATAAAAGAAAACGAAAAATCACGATTTTTCAAATATTTTAAAATAGAAAGTCCAATAAATGAAGAATTCAATAACATTTGGCAAGAAATTGGCAGAAGTATTTTGATTTTAATTGTCATAAAAAGCTATTCAAAAATAAACAAAAATCGGTTTTCAGATTTCCGAACCTTTCTAAATAACAAAGAAGATGAAAAAATAAAAAAAAATGAAAATAATGATAATATTGATATTGAGCTTAATAACTTCAACCATATAAAAATAGCAGATTTAGGATCAGGAAATTCAGCTACGACATTAATTTGTCATCTTGAGCTCGAACAATTATTTGCGATGAAAATATTTTATAGTGAAGATTATAAAAAATTAATTGAGAGAGAGAAACGAAATTATGAAAAGATTCATCATCCATTGATTCCTAAATTTTATGGTATTTGTAGAATGAACAAAAAAGAAAGTCTTCTTATTGAATATATCAAAGGGCATTCACTTAATGAAATCAAAGAAATGAAATTAAAAAATGAAGACAAAATTATAATCATTTATGAAATGTTAAAAATCATTGAATATCTTCACAATAATGGATTCATTTATAGAGACATGAAACCAGACAATTTCATCATTGATGAAAGCAAAGCACTTGTTCTTATTGATTTTGATCGAATGTTAATTAAAGACGATGAACAAATAACGAAAAATTTTGCATCGATATACATTGCACCAGAAATTTATGATAAAACTAAGCGATATTCATTTGAAGTTGACATTTATTCACTTGGTCTCATTTTATATTTTATCATTATGGGAAAAGAATTACCAATTAATTCTGAATCACAATCGATGAATATTTTCGATGGTTTTCATAAAGAATTTCTAGAAATGATAGAAATAATTAAGAGTTGTATCATTATTGATGGATCAAGTCGTCCAACAATTGATGAAATAATTCAAATTTTTTTAGAAAATTATTCATTATTATTATCAATTTGTGGTATTATTAAACGCATGAATAGAGAAAATTATTCTACAATACATATTTATCCAAAAAGGAAAGAAGATGAATTCAATTTTGGAGAGTTTTATTATAAAGGAAAAAAAGGCCCACAAGACATTAATAAAGCAATTTATCATTTTCAACGCACTGCTAATGAAAATGACCCTAAAGGACAATTCTATCTTGGAGAAATTTATTATGAAGACAAATATGTTCCACGAGACATTAATAAAGCGATTCATTATTATTCACTCGCTGCAAATCAAAATTATCGACCTGCACAATTCTATCTTGGAAAAATTTATTATGAAGGTAAATATGTCCAACGAGACATTAATGAATCGATTCATTATTTTTCACTCGCTGCAAATCAAAGAAATCCAGCTGCGCAATTCTATCTTGGAAAAATTTATTATGAAGGCAAATATGTTCCACTAGACATTAATAAAGCGATTCATTATTTTTCACTCGCTGCAAAACAAAACTATCCAGCTTCGCAATTCTATCTTGGAAAAATATATTATGAAGGTAAATATGTCCAACGAGACATTAATAAAGCGATTCATTATTTTTCACTGGAAGCAAATCAAAAGGACCTAACAGCACAACTCGTTCTTGCAGATATTTATTATGAAGGTAAATATGTCCAACAAGATATTAATAAAGCAATTCATTATTATTCACTCGCTGCAAATCAAAATAGTCCAACTGGGCTATTCAATCTTGGAATAATTTATTTTGACAACATAAATGTCCAACGAGACATTAATAAAGCGATTTATTATTTTTCACTTGCCGCAAATCAAAAACATCATGGCGCACAATTCAATCTTGTAGATATTTATTATAATGGCAAATATGTCGAACGAGATATTAATAAAGCAATTCATTATTTGTCACTGGCTGCAAGTCAAAATAGTCCATCTGCACAATTCATTCTTGGAATGATTTATCTTGAAAACAAATACATTCAACGAGACATTAATAAAGCAATTCGTTATTTTTCACTGGCAGCAAATCAAAATACTACAGAGGCGCAATTCATACTTGGAAAAATTTATTATGAAGGTGAATATGTCCAACGAGACATTAATAAAGCAATTCATTATTTTTCACGGGCAGCAAATCAAAATGATCCAGATGCGCAACTAACTCTTGGACGTATTTATTATGATGGTATTTATGTCCCACGAGATATTAAAAAGGGGATTTATTATATGTCACTTGCTGCAAATCAAAATAATCCAAAGGCACAATTTGAACTTGGAAGAATTTATTATTTAGGTAAACATATTCAGCAAGATATTAATAAAACGATTCATTATTTTTCACTCGCTGCAAATCAAAATGATATAAATGCCCAATTTTTTCTTGGATTGATGTATTATGGAGGTTCCTATGTCAAACAAGACATTAGCAAAGCTAGACATTATATTTCATGCGCTGCTAATCAGAATAATTCAGTCATACAAAGAAAGGTTGGACGATATTATTATGATGGAATTGTGTTTGAACAGAATTTCAATATTGCAATCCGATATTTTTCTCTTTCAGCAAAGAATGGTGATATTAAGTCCAATTTTATTCTTGGTGTCATTTATTCACAAGGGATTCATATTGAAAGGAACTTTGATGAGGCAATTCACTATTACAACAATGGATCAAATCGTCGAGATAATTACTCCAAAAATAATCTTGGAATCATTTACAAATATCATGAATATAAAAAGAATCCAATTGAATATTTTGAAGAATCGATCATTGAAAATGAAGATGCAATTTCGATGTACAATCTTGGACACATGTATTTTTATGGAGAAAAAGTCAAACATGATCTTGACAAGTCGATTCATTTATTAATCAAATCATCAATGAAAGGATTTGATCATGCAAAAATTCTATTATCTATAGCATTGGTTAAGAATTTAACGACATCCAAAATCACGAAAGAAAGAATTAAAGAAGAAATGAATAAATACATAAATACTGAAAATATTCACAAATTGTCAGATGAAATAATTGTTATTATTCAATTATTAAAATTAGGCAATAACTATAGAGACTTTTATCATAGCTATGAAAAAATTGATTTCACTTATGATATTCATAGGAAACCGATGATTACTTCAGATTTTTATTCAGAACGAGAAAAAAAGATCAAAGAAAAAGAAGAAAAAAATAAAAATCTGCATGATATTAACGAATTATTTTATGAAGGATTTGGTTATTCTATGATATAAGTTTTTTAAATGAATATTGAGATTTTAGGGATGTGATGATAGTTGTCACTTTTTATGCCCACTTTTTTTTTTTCATGATGATGTGCTCGTAAAAGATGC